CCCAGGAGGCGTGGAGTGAGAGGGAGGAATGGGAGGGATAGAAAACGCAGGTGCCAGTCGATTGGAAGGCCTCCGCAGGCGTTTCCTTGAGTGAAGGCCTCTCCCTGAGCCTGGTATCAATCAGGATCAGGAAGGAAATTAGTGCTTCCAGCTCCACAGGCAATTCCTTGGCTGCGATCTCATCCTTCAATGCATCAGAAAGACCCTGAGAAAAACGCAGCCACCAGAGCCTCATTGTTCCAACCCACCTCTGCTGCCAGGGTACGAAACTCTATGGCGTACTCGGCCACGGTCCGTGAACCCTGATGCATAGACAATGAGCAGCTTGGCAGCCGAGGCGGAGCGAGCCGGTACAATCGAATACCCTAACGGAAGGCATCGACAAAACCGGAAAACTCGTGAATCACACGGGGTCATTCCTCTCCCATAAGGGATTCGCCCAGGCCAAGGCCATTGTCTGAGAGTAGTGAGATGAGGAAACCCACCTTTGACCTCTCAGTCGGAAAAGCGTAGGGGATTAATTCAAAGTAAATCCCCACCTGGTTAAGGAACCCACGACACTGACTCGGCTCACCCCCAAAGCGCTGTGGAAGAGGGGCTGAACCGGTCATACCTCTGGACACCGCGGGTGCCGCATCAGCCGCGGCGGTAGGCACAGCAAGCGGAACAGCAGCGGGAGCGACCACCGGAGTGACAACCGGCCTAATAAACACCAGGAGTAAGGTGCGCGGTGCGTGCCAGCAGAGTTTGCAACGCCTGAGCGAACTGATCCAACAGGAGATCCTGTTTGATCCAGTCTGGCAACCAACATAGGAAGTGAAGGCGTACCTGCACCGTCAGGATTCATGGCACTTGTGTAATGTCAGGGCAGGGCTGTGGAACGGACAGGTAGGCCTAGTGGCAGGGTAACGCACTGGCTGACGACAACCACCACCAACAGACTGAAGTCCCTCAGGGCGCGGAGTCTAAGTCCCAGGCTGCCCTTCACCAGGGCCCCTGATGGTGGGGATGGACTTGACGCAACCAGGGACCAGGTCGCGGCCCCCGAGGAGACACCCCAGCTGCGGTAATGGCTGCCGCCAATGGCGTGTAGTTGGTTGAGAATGACAATAGCGTAGTCAATACAAGCCGGGTCAATAACAACGGGACACAAAACAGTACAGAACAGTAGACAGAGAATCACAGGTCACGGGCCGGGTTCAGCAACGGAAGGTCAATCAAAGGGAAACGCAGAGAATGGTTCTTAGTCACAAAGCCGAGTCAGAATACCAGAAGAGTCACGAGCGTATACACAGAGCTGTAGCAAGACAAAGACACAAGACACAAGTGCAAAGAGCATGTGCAGATCCCAGGCTTATATGTACTCAGCCACACCCCTCTGGGGGATGGAGACCTCAGAGACCTAGAAGGCATAAAAGATTCCCATCATGACCTCAGCAGAAATCCAAGATGGATTGCTAGCACATGGAGTAACAAAACCTCCTGGGAAAGGTAGGACCTTGACACCTACAAGCTCCTGGCTTCTATGGGAAACCACTACATACACTACATTGCTAAAAAGTACTGGGATGCCTGTTTTTACACGCACATAATGGCATCCCAGTCTTTGACCATAGGTTAATATTGAGTTGGCCCACCCTTTGCAGCTATAACAGCTTAAAATCTTCTGGGAAGGCTGTCCCACAAGGTTAGGAATGTGTGGAATGTTTTGACCATATCTTCCAGAAGCGCATTTGCAAGGTCAGACACTGATGTCAGGTGAGAAGGCCTGGCTTTACAATCTCCTCTCTAATTCATCCAAATGGTGTTCTATTGGCCTGAGGTGCAAGGCCAGTCAAGTTCCTCCCACTCCAAACTTGCTCATCCATGTCTTTATGGACCTTGCTTTGTGCAATTGTTGGACAGTCATGTTGAAACAGGAAGGGGCCATCCCAAAACTGTTCCCTCAAAGTTGGGAGGAAGAAATTGTCACAAAATGTCTTGGTATACTTACTCCTTAAGAGTTTTCTTCACTGGAATTAAGAGGCTAAGCGCAACCCCTGAACAAACAACTTCATCACCCATAATCTCCTCTCCACCAAATTTTACACTTGTGCACAATGCGGTCAGGCACGTACCGTTCTCCTGGCAACAGCCAAACCCCAGACACTTCCATCAGATTGCCAGACAGAGAAGCATGATTTTGTCACTCCAGAGAACACATCTCAACTGCTCTGTAGTCCAGTGGTGGCGTGCTTTGCAACACTGCATCGGACACTTTACATTGCACTTGGTGATGTAAGGCTAGCATGAAGCTGAATGGCCATGGAAACCCATTCCATTGTAGCTCTGTCATTTTACGTGGCCTACCACTTTGTGGCCAAGTTTTGCTGTTTTGTTCCCAGTTGCTTCCACTTTATTGTAATACCACTAACAGTTGATCCTGGAATATTTAGTAACACGGAAATTTCAACCGTATGAACTTATTGAACAGATGGACAATCTATACCACGCTTGAATTCAATGAGCTCCTGAAAGCGACCCATCTTTCACAAATGTTTATAGACGCAGCCTACATGCCTCAGGTGTTTGATGTTATAGTGTGGCCTGGTGGCCATGGAGGTGATTGGAACACCTGAATGAATGAATGTGAGTTAGGGACCTTAGATTTGTACACCCCTTGAGGGTTAGGGACTGATGTGAATGTGCAATATATATGTAGAAAGTGCTGCATAAATTGACAGCACTTGCATAAGTACTTGTAATAAATAAATAATAATAAGAATGATTATTAATGTTGGTGCATGTAGTTAGGCATGGTATCACAGTAATAGGTGCAGCGCTAATAAATATATGGATATATTATATATACTGTATAATACAATATATCAGCAAGTGCAAAATGAATATCACTTAATGGTGATTATTAGTAACTGAACAGTTCAAAGTGATAAAATCGTGTGGATCCTGATGGGATCACAATTTCAGGTGCACGGATGTCATTGTCCAGAAGTGATAGGTTTGATGTGACTCAATGAGTAATGAAATACGCACTCACCAGAAGTGCGTCGTTTAAAATACGCAATATGAAATCCCTGCATCAAGCAATGAGAAGGTCATCTGTTTCCAGGTGTTAGGAATGGACTGGCCAAGCAATGGTGGGGACTCACCCTGCCTATTTGATCTGCAGTATCAGGGCTGGCCCAGCGCGGTGCTCCACAAATCAGAGACTCAACCTTTCAGCCAGCTAACACCTGGGAAAAGGAACTGATGATGCTGGGGTATTTTAAGGTGGATGGCCAGACCCACAGACTCTGCCTTGGTGTTGTGTTTGTCCTGGGCACCCTGTATCTGTCCTGCATCCTGTTTCTGTCCCTCTGCCTGACCCACTGTACTATGCTGCCTTGTTACCTGGTTTGATCTCTGGCTTGTGGGACCCTGACCATCATCCCTCTGCCTGAACCCTCTGTATACGCTGTTTGCTACCTGCAGAACCTGGCCTGTGACCCCGACCATTCTCTGCTTGCTCCCCTGTACCTACCTGCCCAATTGATATTGACACCCGGCCTGCTGACGACGCTTGCGTGTATGTACTGTTATCTGTGGGTGGTTTTGGTTTGCCGTTTGGTTTGGTTTGTTTGCACGGTATTATGTTTAGTATTGCACTGCGTTTATGTTTGTATGGTTAGTGTTAATAAATTGTATTGTTTATCACATATCTGAAGTCTGCTGTTTCCCTGCATCAGTCACACACCTCTGGTCATACCTGGGAGCCCTGACATTACACCAAAGGCCAATCCTGACCAAAGTGGCTGCACAGGGAAGTCCATCTTGGCTTGTTTGATTGGGAAGGATGGATCTTGATGAGGTTGATATTTATATCTGCTAGTGGTTTTGATGACAGGGAGTAAGCTTATCAGACTCTGAAGGAGTATACCCGGGATTGAACTGCTAGAATGTATACGGCTCGCACGCATGTTCTTAGTAGATCAGGGCACAGAAGTTCTCTGAGGTGCAGCCTTTGATTGAGGTTTGTGCTGGAGTTGGTTTCATCTGGTTCCCCCCGAATGCAGGGATGAATTTTTGCACCATTTAGTGCAGACCAGGTAAGAGGTCCCTGGTGGTTATTTAGAGGATGATGTGGGTTACCTAATTGTGGAGCGTTATTCCACATGTTCACCACAGACACTAAGAGATTGTATAAACGCAGTGCAGTCATTTTGACCAGACAGGCTATTTGTGTAAGCCTCATCTTTGTTCAACCCCATACTGCAGACATGAGGACAGATTTTGTTGCACCCAGCCTCAGTCAGCTACAAAGACCCAGTCCTGCTTCTAATCTATTTCCTCAAAACTCTATTCCTGCATCCCAACAGCTCCTCCTGCCCTGCTATTTTCTACCGCAATGTCAGTACCCTGTTTTTCCCACTAAACACTCGCTGCACCTATCCTGCCTTTAACCCTGTAAAAGAGCCCTCTGTAGCAACCGCTCCCTCTCCTTTGCATACCCCATCCTCCAGTTCTTCTCGGTCTACCAGCTGCTCCATTTGTTTTGCAGACCTGCGTTTACTTGCAGTGCTCCAATAGTTAAAACCAGAAAAAAGCGAAAATTCTTTCCAACCAATACCATCCTGCCAGTATCCAAACCGGTGAGCCTGCCGATCCGTGGATTCAGCCTGAAGCCTCTACTCAGCCTGAAGCCTCTTACTTGCAGCCTGAAGCCTCTACTCAGCTGAAGCCTCTACTCAGCCTGATGCCTCTACTCAGCCTGAAGCCTCTACTCAGAGCCTGAAGCCTCTAACTCAGCCTGATGCCTCTCTTCAGCCTGATGCCGGTACCGCAGCCTGATGCCTCTCTTCAGCCTGATTGCCGGTACGCAGCCTGATGCCTCTCTTCAGCCTGATGAGCCGGTACCAGCCTGATGCCTCTCTCTTTCAAGCCTGATGCCTGTATGCAGCCTGATGCCTCTCTTCAGCCTGATGCCTCTACTCGGGACTGAAGCCTCTACTCGCCTGAAGCCTCTACTCGGCCTGAAGCCCTCTACTCCGGCCTGATGCCTCTACTCGGCCTGAAGCCTCTACTCGGCCCTGAAGCCTACTACTCGGCCTGATGCCTCTACCCGGCCTGATGCCTCTACCCAGCATGATGAACTGATCCAGCCTGACGATCCTATTAGGCCAGTTGGACTCGATGCCGCGCTGTTATCCAGATGATCCGTACCTGATCCGGTGCCCGCTGTTGAGCAGCCAAATGACATGGCCGATGCCTGGTGACCCAGTGCCCGCTGTCATACCTGGTGACCCGATGCCCGCTGTCGAGCCAGACAATCCGGAGTACCTGCTTGAAACCGGCGTGACTCAACTGTCGTGCCTGTTGAGACTCGGAGCCCACTGCCTTGCCAGATGACGCGGTGCCACGCTGTCAAGCCAAATGACCTGATGCCTGGGATGACCCAGTGGTGCCCGCTGTCCAGCCAGACGATTCCAATGTCTGACCCAGTGCCCGCGGTCATACAGTTGACTCGGAGCCCACTGCCTTGCCAGATGACGCGGTGCCCCGCTGTCGAGCCAAAATGACCTGATGCCTGGTGACCCGATGCCCGCTGTCCAGCCAGACGATCCAATGTCTGACCCAGTGCCAGCGGTCCATCCCATTTGACTCGGAGCCCACGGTTGTGCCTGGTGACTCGGTGCCTGCCGCCCCGCCTGGTGGGCCTGAGACCTGTCGTTCCGCCTGGGGGTCCGGCGCCCGCAACACACTCCGACTGAGGGTCCGAGACCTGTCGCTCCGCCTGGGGTCCGGCGCCCGCCGCTAACCCGCTGTGAAGGGCCCGGTGCATGTCGCCCCGCCCGGTGGGCCCGGTGCCCTGCTGCTCCGCATCACGGGGGCCCGGTGCACTGCTGCTCCGCCCGGTGGCCCGCTGCCTGCTGCATTCGCCTGGTAAACCGATGTGCCTCTGCCCGAGGTCCTGCCCGGTGTGCCAGTCTTTGATATACCCGCCAGTTTACCAGACCCGGGCGGTGGAACATTTTTGCCCAGATAGGACTGTTTTGGAGCGTCCTGAGGCCGCTCCTTGGGGGGGGGGTACTGTTAGGAATGGACTGGCCAGCAATGGTGGGACTCACCTGCCTTTTGATCTGCAGTACCAGGGCTGGCCAGACGGGTGCTCCCAGCAATCAGAGACTCAACCTTTCAGCCAGCTAACACCTGTGGAACTGATGATGCCTGGGGTATTTAAGGTAATGGCCAGACCCACAGACTCTGCCTTGGTGTTGTGTTTGTCCTGGGCCCTGTATCTGTCCCTGCATCCTGTTTCTGTCCCTCTGCCTGACCCTCTGTACTACGCTGCTTGTTACCTGTTTTGATCTCTGCTTGTGACCCTGACCATCCCTCTGCCTGACCCTCTGTACTACGCTGCTTGCTACACTGCTGAACCTGGCCTGTGACCCCGACCATTCTCTGCTGCTCCCCCTGTACCTACTGCCAATTGAATATTGACCCGGCCTGCTGACGACGCTTGCTTGTATTTACTGTTATCTGTGGGTGGTTTGGTTTGGTTTTGTTTTGCACTGTATTATGGTTTAGTATTGCACTGCGTTAATTTTGTATGGTTAGTTGTTAATAAATTGTATTGTTTTATCACATATCTGAAGTCTGCGTTTCCTGCATCATCAGTCACACACCTCTGGTCCATACCTGGGAGCCCTGACACCAGAGTCAGATCACCGTCATAAATCACCATCCAGGTACATCAGCGTGTAGGATTCCCTGGTCCGTTAGCATGTATCACCCTCTAGGATCATCTTTGTTGTAAAAGGGCACTGCGAATGAAGGCACTCCACACGGAGAGCCCAATAAGAGACCACATAGCGTTGATACTGTGATAAAGTACCCTTATAATCCCAAATAATGGGTAACACTCTATAAGAATAAAAAGAAAGGTACTGACCAAGTGTTCCAGATTGGCCACCTATGGTGGTCAGATGTCCAGTTTGCTGTAGCCCACTGAACGCGTTTTCGTGCCGATGCACATAGTCATATAGAGAGAAAGGGATTACAGCAGGGACAACCATTCCAGTGCGAATTTATCTATTTGACTGGCGATTATGGTTAGTGTGGCCCGCCATCTTGCCCGCTGTATCGGCGCATGCGCAGTCCATCGGCTCCATTTTGTCCGTGGATCGCGGACGCGCCCACCAGTTCACTGTGTTCAGCAACTCGGTATGTTACGGCCGCCATCTTGCTGGCTATTGGCGCATGACGCAATTCGCAAGCGCCATTTTGCCGTAGATCGCGGAAGCGCCCCCCAGACACTGTGTTCCAGCAACTCGGTATGTTACGGCCTGCCATCTGCGCTAATGGCTCATGCGCAAATTCGCAAGCGCCATTTTTGCCTGTAATATCGCGGAAGTGCTCACTAGTCACTGCACTGCATTCAGCAAACTAGTTATACAGCCGGTACCGCGCCATGTAATGTCAGTAATAATGATCAAATAAACTGTGTACTCACTGTGCAGAGGATTGCAATATAGGGGGGAATGTTTAAATTATCAATGCTTGATATATATGTATCCATGTGCCCTTTTAAAGGGAAAATTTAGTATATTTTTTAGGCATATTAAAACTATATGCAAAGCCCACCTGTATGCAATAAATGATAACAATTTTTAAATGTGCAAGACCATATAAAATCAGATGCATAAAAAAAATTTGTGCCGTGAAAAAAATCACAGGATGTTAATATACAATATAATAAAATACCCAAAAATATATATCTACAATACTGGTCAAAAAAGAATAATAAAACATGGCAATTGAAAACGTACAAAAAAAGTGATAAAATAAAAAAAGAAATTAAAAAAAAAATATTAGAATAAGTATTCATTCGCAAAATCTAGGAAGTTAAAATAATCTATAAAAGGCATAGGTAAAAACAGAAAACTAAAAAAAAAGATATGTGAAAAAAGCCAAAATTTTAAAAATTTTTTTAAGATACTTAAAATCTCTAGAATCCTTTAAAATTTTAAAATCGCGATGACGGGGAATTTCAACGTCATCAATATATGTGAAAAATGCTAAACATCAATATACAGGGGGTGTGAACAAATAAAAAAAAAGGGTCGATTCTCTTTTTGGGATTAGCAAGTGTCTTTCAACTATTATTATAAAACAATTTTAGATCAAAGTCTAATTGAGTCCCCGGATATAAGACCCCCGTTCAATATCCAAGTGATTCAAGTTGTGACACGCTCGTTTTTTATTGGGTCCCTCCCAATGGGCGTTAAAATACCAATCCCCATAAACAAGTGAGGGGGGATCTTTGTTATGGTGAATTTGAATTTTGCGACAAGAATGACCCTTAATCCTTTTCTAATTTTTTAACTCCCCTAGTCATCCTGGGGTCTAGGGTCCGTCCACATAGGGATTGCAAACGGACTTGGGCAGGTAGACCCAAAAATCTGCATCAGGTAAAAAACACTTATTAAATAAACCCATTTCCGTAAAATTAAAACCCCTTTTTTGTTTATGGGTATCTGCTGCTTTGGGAATAACACATTTTTTAAAAAACGGGGGAAAAAAACCCTTAATTTTGGGAACATAATCACATTCTTAGGGGGTCCAAATTTTGGGCGCGATTTTGTTTCTCAACGGGTTGCCTCCTAAAAAATGTTTTCGGGTTTGTCTGGAAATTTTGAGTTCAAATGGGATCAGATTTTCAGATTTTCCAGTTTTTTTAATGATTTTGGTTATCTTTTTGTACTGATGGATATTGGTGATAAAAGGACGTTTTTTTGTGTTTTTCTGAAAAAGGGGATCACCCAACATAAAATTTTTCTGTTGATTTTCCTATAGTGTCCAGGTTAGATTAAAGGATAATTCATATAACCTTTTCAACAAATTTTTTTTTAAATTTATTGCCGCTTGCCTATAGTATGTACCCCTACATACAATTGCGTTTAATCCAGAAAAACTGACCCCTGGGGATTTTTTGTACCCCATATAGGAGAGGCAATGTCTGTTGGGATAAAAATTTCTATCTTTTGGGTTTAAAATATTTTTCCCCGTTATTTTTTCCATTGTGTTCATTAAAACCAGATTAAAAAGTTAACACTCGTTTGACTATTTTAAAAAAGTAAGCTTAATTTTTAACGAATTAAAATTCAAGGTTTAAAGAAATTTAAAAGGGTCTTTCTTCCCATTCCATTGGGAGGATGTCATTATTATCTCGAAAAAAAATGAAAGTTCCGGCCTCTCTTGCATAAAACATCCCCTCCCATCGGGCCTAAATAATTTGGGCCAGGCGGGGGCAAATTTCCCCCCAAGGCACCCCCTTTGTCTGTAAATAAAATTTGTGATTGAACCAAAAGTAACCCTCGTCATCGCAAAATAAGATTGTCCGTTTATTTATCTTTTTACTCCCCTTAAAAGGCGCGGTCCCGCAGTATAAGTTTGCTGAAGCAGTGACTAGGAGAAATTCCCGCGTCTACGCAAAAGGGGCGCTTGCGAATTGGCAGCCCCAAATACCCAGAAAGATGGCGGCCGTAACATACCGAGTTGCTGAACAAAGTGACGGGTGGGCGCCCCCGCGATCCAGGGAAAAAATGGCGCCGATGACTGCGAAATGCCCCGATACCGGCAAAATGCGGCCGCACTAATGCAAATCGCCTTTCAAAATAAAATAGCACTGTAAGGATGTCCCTGCTGTAAGCCCTTCTCCCTATGACTTTTTCATCGCACAAAAGCTTCGGGCTACAGAACTGGACATTGACCACCATAGGTGTCAATCTGGAACACATGGTCAGTACCTTTTTTTATACTTATTGATTGTACCCATTTTTTTGAATAAAGGTACTTTATACAGATCACGTTTGGGGTTCTTTTTGGGTCTCCGTGTGAGTGCCTTTTTCGCAGTGCCCATACAAAAAAAAATATCCTAGAGGGGATCACAAAGCCAGGAAATCCTACACCTGATTCCCTGGAGGGTGTTTTATGATGTGATCTGACCGGAAACAGATGACCTTCTCATTGCTTATGCAGGATTTCATATTGCTTTTTTAAACGCATTTTCTGGTGATGCGTTTTTCATTCTTTGGCAAATCCCCTATCACTTCTGGCCCAAAGACTCCCACCTGAAAATTTTGATCCCTCAGGACCACAGATTTTATCACTTTGAAATGTTCATCACTAAAAATTACCATTAAGTGATATTTATTTTTCACTTGCTGATATTGTATTATACAGTTTATATAATAATCCCTTTAAAATTTTTTGCGCTGCACCTATTACTGTGTACAATTAAAATTGGGGGTTTTTATGGTTACCTTTTTTGTGTTCTGCAGCTGATTTCTATTTTCTTACTAAAGGTGGCGCTCGTTTGCAGCTTTTTTCTAAATTGTTAGGCGCTGACTTCAAAATTTTGCAAATTTTTTCACATTTGCCTTTTTTTTTATTTTCAGGTGTACAATTGCTTCGTGGAGTTCTGTGAATATAACAGAACTGACATATATATAAAAGCAAAGTTACAGATAAGCAGGTG